CTGAAAGACATGGTGCCAAGGTCGTTGCCCAGAGAGAAGTTCAAGCTTTTCTTGGACTCGGTTGACGTTCGCAGGAGGTAAGCCCCTTCGGGGCTTAATGACAGGAATGGAGAGGAAGTTCTAGTTTAAGGTGGAGTTCAGAGGATGCTCAAGTCAAGGTGGTGATTGTTAAATGTGACTCGAGCATTTGGAGCATTCGTATGGAACATTTGAGTTCAATGGATCACTTGGAACTCAATGAAGCACTTGGTGTTCATGGATCTTGTGACAAAGGAACGGATCATCTAAGAAAATGATGGATCTCCTGACAATGGAACGGATCAAGTGACAATGGAACGGGTCAAGTAACAAAGGAACATGTCTTCTAAAAGGTGGTATGGAGCATCTGGAAGTATAATGGAGCATCCTGGTGAATGGATGCATCATCCTATTCATGGATGCACCACTTAAAATTTAATGTGCGCCACTATTGTGACTTGATATGCCACCAAGTGATATGATATGCCACTAAGTGACAGGATATGCCACCAAGTGACATGATACCCAATTCATGGGCCTATGGGCTAATGGGCTTGACCCATTAGGGTTTTAGGTATGATCCCTCAAGTATAAAAAAGGATGCATGCTAAGTCACTTGTGTCGTGTCTTTTGTATCCTTACTGGTTATTCCGAAATTTTAATTGATAATCTATCATTTTTTGAAAAAAAAAACAAAAAACAAAAAACATTTTGGACTTTATCAAAGTTTAGGAAGATTTTTTTAACCTTCAACTTAGAAGTTTTAACAAGCAAACAAGTTTTTTTTAAAGCTTCTCAAAAGCTTGAATCTTTAAAACATATACTATTAATTAGAGGGTTTGCATACGGGCTATAGAGTACAAACATCATGGCTATGGTGAATCCCAAGTACGACGACGGGGCGAGAGTTTCTGTTGCTTTTCTTGTTGGACCACTTCGTAATTTGGAAATTCATTATAGACCGTTAAAGTTTCATTTCATGTAAATAGCTTTTTTTGACGTCATTCACGGTATTATTGAGATACGAATTTTTATGGTCCCAAAATTAAAACCAACACCACAAATTATTATAGTCTAGAAATTCAAAGCAACACCACACACATTCTTGTTTACAGTTATATATATATACTAGATTATAACCCGCGTTAAACGCGGGGAACACATAGAAAAAACATACAAATATATATAGATATTACATAATAATTATAAAAAAAATTATGGCTACTGGTATTATTGAAATGTGTAGAAGATATATTGGAATCGATAAATATCTATAAAACAAATACAGTCGAATAAGTACTTTCGAATATATAGCTATATATAACACTATACTTTCATATTTATATTGTTCGACTTAATATAAAATGAAAGTACGATGCTATATTTGACAAATACAAAATGAAAGTAGGATCCTAGTTACACGATTGAGCAAACCAAAGAGACTAAACTTAATTTTAGCTTTTTATAGTAACATTTTACGTCAAGTTCTTACTTAGTAAACAAAACAATAAAAGTATGTTGTTTCTTGCATTAATAGCAACATTTTATATTTGTTTTAAATAAGATGTCATATCTTTACTTTTTTCTATTGAAACCATTATACTTTGAAATTATAAGTTTGTTATTATGTGTGAAGAAATATAAGTATGATGCTATTATTAGTATAATTAGAAGTTGACTAACTTGATGGGATTGACAGACCCTACTTTTATTTTTCAGTTGCATATGTGACAACATCGCCTGAACTTGAGTTTGTGTCTGTTATGCATTGTTCTTGGTACTATATGCATTGTTCTTGGTACTATCTTTACCAGACTCAACAAAAGTCACATGATTCTAGAAGTAATTCAAGGACATATTAGATAACAGAAAATACTAACAATGAAAATTCAATTAAAAACATCATTGTTTCTCTCTAACAAAACCTACGCTGACATGTTTCAAATTTAAAGTCCTTAGTTTAGACATCACAATCTAACATGTTTCCCTCCTCTCACTCATTTTAGTGAATAGTTTCCTTGCGGTGCAGCGGCTACAAATATTTTCTTTCGACAAATAGTTTCGTCTAAGGTTAGTTTTTTTTTTCAGCAGACTGTTTGGGTTAAAAAATATTGTTGTCGGTTTGAGTAAGTTAAGCTTAAATAAAATTATGATGTTTTCGGTTACACCTCTTTCAACCAAACATGGATATCTATTTCGCTTGTTTACAATCGAAAGGTGTGGTCCCTAAAGATTTTTGAGATATAATAATAATAATAATAATAATAATAATAATAATAATAATAAAATTATATACTGACTTAATAAAATAAAAAAGACAGAAAAAGTAGGCTACAATTTTTTTAAAATTGGGACAATAAAATCTACTTTCAAATCTTCTAGTGTACTGATACGACATAATTCATTTTTACATAATTTAAAATGCTTCTAATTTGAAATACTTATCGACCCTATCTCATAAAAAGAATCGTCGTTTGGGACAAATCGATATACTTACATTTTTATTGATGGATAGAAGTTCACATGTTTTTATCAAAATCCTGCATGAATGATTAGGAAAAGTACACATTAAAAGTACACATCAACAAGCGACTATTAAATCCCAAATTGGAGCTTATCGCATAACTTAACAAAGCTAAATATAACAAAAAAAAATTGGTTAAGATTTCTAACTTGATATATTTGTTTTTTCAAATTATTATAGTTAAATCCTAAAACAACAATCTGTTTTTAGCTAAATATAAAAAACTATTTCTAAAGTGTCCATTTTTAAGAAATTAATTTGATACAAATTTTTATTTAGTTTTGAAAGAAATATTTATGTTAGTTTTTATTTTGGAAAATGGTGACATTACAAACAGAACATTAAAAAAATGTTATATTATGATTTCCAATGGTTTTTTAACATTAGACTCAACACATAGAAAAAATTTTGATAATAAACTTTTTTGATGGATTTTGTTGGTATTTTTTTTGAATTATTTTATAATGGGTCATTTGATAATGGCAATTATTTTACCAATAAGCTCATTGGCAATTTCTTGCATGAACAATAACATCCAACTTGCAATCATAAAGCGAAACAAATAGTTATGTTGAGTTTTTTAAACATTAAAATAAAATTTAAATCATAAAATAAGGTGTATACATAATAACATGCCTTTTTGTGTGACTTTAAATTTATAAGCGAGATTTACGATATTGAAGTAAGAGTAATTGAGAGTTGTACCCTATTTGTATTTAATCACTTTTCATCACCTAAAGATAAGTTAAACAACAACAAACTTTATCAGAATTCATTCATTTTAAGAGTTAAGACACAAAAAATAAAAATATAAAAATTAACCCATCAATAAAAATAGTAATTCATCTGTTGAGAAACTCCTTGTAAAAATCTTTGTCAAACTCTCTTTCTTGAAAACAAAAATTTGCTGGCATTTGAGTAATTTTCACGTTATATATATTTGACCACCAAATATACACTTGAATATGATTTTGTTGCGACCACCAAATATACACTTGAATATGATTTTGACATTTTTGCCCTTAAGGGATTATATACAAATCTAGCTTTCAAAGACACCTCTGAAACAAATGCATATATTTCAACATATCTCGCATGAATACAATCAGTTGCCTACATAAACTTTACACTGCTGCAACCTTTGTGTTTTTAAGGTTCTTTGATTAATAACCTCCATTGCTAGTCTGATATAAAGGAAAAAATGATACAAGGATCCCATGCCCCGGTATAACAAAGATAAATAATTACAAAAAAAGTAAATAGTTGAAAGCATCAAACTGATACTTATAAGAGCATTTTCTTTCACAATGAATTTAAAGAAGTTGTAAGCCCTTTACCCTTAAATATTTAAAATTTACACTTTCTATACTTTTTTTACAGAAGCACAAATCACTCAAGATTTGTATGTTTTACATCTAAAAAGCCTCTTAAACACAAATACTAAAAGTTTTCAAAGAAACACAAAAATTACTAAAAGATATAAATGTTTTCCTGTTATCATAGAAAATTGGAAATTTTCATCTTTTATAACATTAAGAAAAAAAAATACCATGTATGAGAGCACATACAGATGAAAAAAGTCATTCTTTACCAGATGAACTACATATTTTTTTTACTCTTTCTAGCTTTCGAAGGCAAGGATTGGGGAACCTTTACGATATGTTTTCTTTTTCCATGTAAAGCTTTTGAACCCTTTGCAAAAAATAACCATCTAAAGGTCATTCAGAAGATTAATTATTTAGCTTAATGATAGACTAACAACAAAACATGTATGTTACCCTTTTTTAATACCATATGGATACGATTAGCTTTTTGCTGTCAGTGGACCCAAATCATAAAGTATAAAATTTTCGTATCAAATACAAAGGATCTATTCAAGAAATGAACAACACTAAAGAGGAGATAATATGTTCATTACCTGTAACATCTAATCACTAAAGAACAGTACCATGAAAAGCAAAATGGAATGATGGTAAGGAAAATTTTACCTTTTTTTACTTCTTTTCACAATGTAATCAAACTCCTATACTTGTTTTTGTATCAACCATGTAGTACAAAAGGGTAACAAAGTCATTTGGTCATGATAAACCTATGACCGTCACAAAAAATATGAGAAATAGTTGATTTTCTTTTCCACCACTAAGAGATTGATTCTAATAAAGATTTATGCATAAACAGAGAGAATTACACTGATAATCACTTGCATACTTTGATGGGAAATGACGATTCCGTCCTTCCATGGAGCAGGAAAAGTAGTAGTCCATCACCTGTTAAAAGCTCAACGGGAGCTAATTCAACGGAAGAAACAGGAAGCCATAAACACAAACGGTGATTGCTATTTCCAACATCCAAAGTGGTTTCCAACTCAGTAAGCAACTAAAGAAAGTAATATTAATGAAACTGGAAAGTTGAACCTTTCGCACACGCCCAACACAACACCGATGCTAGCAAATATCAATCACCGGAAAATCCTATGTGATTCCAAATCAAAAAAAGAAAAGGCTTTCTGTTTAGGAGAGACACGACAACATATAACAGAGGAACAATTAACTGCCAACTGCAAGAAATGGTCCCTTATGTCATTCCCCAAAGCAATTTCAAGGGCTTTCCCATCCACCACAAGAGCAAAAGGATCATCCTTGGTTTTTTCGTTTACTGTCACTTGATAAGAAGCCTTGATTTGATTTAATATGTCATCTGTCATAGCCTGAAAGCTACAAAATATTGAATCATTACCCTTAACTCGCATTTTTCTACCTGTAACTTATCTGCCTTAGATTGAATATATAAACCGACTCAATTCAAGTTCATAAATATTCACCTTTATTTGATTTTTTGATTTAGCATCCCTGCTCAAACTCGGATGAAACTGCTTCATATCATGCCTAAGCAAACTACAAGCGAATCTGACCAAAAATCCAAAAAAAAAAGGTTAGAATGTTACTGAAAAAGGGTTATTCTTTCAGGCTTTCAGCAACCACTGTCCCATCCCACAAGCATCATGTGACATGTAAGTTAGATACACAAGGCCCGCGAAAAGCCCAAGTGCCTATAAGGAGTCCAATCCACAATGGAACTGAAACTCTCAAATATACCACCCCAGAACCAGTTGGAACTGTGCGAGTTTATCTATGCATTCTGCAACCTGAAATCAATGTTAGGAAGTGATGAATATGTTCTCATAGATGAGAAAAGAGTGTCGAGTAAATGTTTAATGGTTTTTACAGTTTTACCCAATCTTGTAACTTGTCATCAACAGCTACAACACCTAACAACATCAAATCTTTCTCGATGATTTCAGACACATTCTCTAGCACCTCCTCTCTTTCAGGCCCGATTGTGGCCTTTGCTTTAGCAAATGTTGAGCTCCATTCTTCATATTCCAAATCTTTAATCTTTCGATAAGCAAAGGCCATTGTCCTCAACCCATCTTCTGCATAGTTTGCAAGGTGCGTGGTTGTAGCATGTTGGTATGTCCTACCACCATCACCTAGCCTACAAAGATGATGCTGCATAATACAAGCTTTTTAGCTCTATATTTCAGGTCAAAGATTGAACATTTATCCTCAAAACTACAGATTCCTTTTTTAACTGAAAGAGTATTCAATTGGAAAATCAAGAAACTTACTTGTCAGCGCCTTTACAAAATAGGAAAATCTGACCAACTTCATCACGAACTATCACTGACATCCTCTTTCTTGAACTGTTGAATTCTAATAAGTTCAATAGCTTGTATTCCCTGAAATTTAACCATATATATGTATTTTAGAAAGCTAGTATAATAAAGGGGGGAGATGAAGTCATAAAGATAAAGAATATCATGGGAAAGCATCAACCTTTCCACCTCTTCTATTGAAGAATCAATCTCTTTAACGAACATTGAGGACTAAGTTCTTTTGCAAAACTGGAAACCAAATTCTTGGGCTGCAATCAGAAAGGTCACTTCTTCGGGAGATTCTGCTTCATATTTGAGTTTATGGCTTCCTGTTTCTTCTCCATTTTCGATTGGTATACCTGTATGACATAAAGCCATGACTCTGAAGAACATCATCATATCCCAGACATTCGATCCATGAACCCACATTTTATTCATCAATCTATCATCTCTAAAATTAAAACCTTTTATAGCACCTGAACCAAGATTTCTCATAGTTTTTGCATCATCAAAGATACTGTTCTTTACTTCGTTATCTTGATCGGGACAAATTTCATGCATCTCAATACTATCACGAGGCTCGAAATCCTCACCATCTAGATTGAAACGGTAGTTCTCGATATTAATATTCATTATGTGAGAAGCAACACGAACAATTGCATTTACATCACCACCATAAGAAATTCCTTCAATGGAGCACTTCCTGAACTCCATTTGGTTACAAGTTAAAGTCCCGGTCTTATCAGACAAAATCATCTCAACCTGACCAAGTTCCTCATTCAAATTTGAAGTCCGGGCTTAAACTGATTTCCCAGACATTTCATCGAACAGTTGGAGGTCATTGTTTATGAGCATTGCTTGTAAGAACTTCACTACTTCAATGGAGACGTAAAGGGAGATTGGGATCAAGTAACCATACAATATGAGTGCTCTCAAGAATTGAAGAAACCCAGAGATCAGTGGTTTATCAGGATCAAAAGAGGCATTTGTATCTTCGAGTAACTTAAGGTACCACCATTCTTTAACTGTTTGTTTTGAGTCTGTATATCGAGCAGAACCAATGGAGGTGATTAAAGATATTAGAAGCAACATGAAGAACAGAACATAAATTACATGATTTGCGATATAATGAATAAAATGAAAACCCCATAATAGTTTAAAAGAGGTGAGTCGTTGCATCGTGACGTTAGCGAGAGCAAGACATTTCTTGTCCAAGTGAGGCGGCAAAGCCATTGATTTGCCGACGACATTCTCCGACGCTTGCCGCTTTGCAAGTGACGACGTCGTTACAGAAGCTTTCTGA